ATTCTGAAATGCCTGAGCCAAAGTCTGTTGTCAAAGTGGTTCAGTTTAACAACCTCCCAGAACTGTCTTACATGACTGCGCTCCCAAACAGCAAGCATCCGCCTCCAAAAGTAAGATAAAACATGACCACGTTTATTACGTTACGTCTGCGCGCTCTGAGGCTATGTAGTTTATTAAATACGAAAAAATACCCACAGTGGCTTCTCCTATTGCAGAAAATGACCTTGTTCTTGGTGATATTTGGTGCCAGTTTGTCATGAAGTGATGATTTTGTTCTCTTCGTCTCGCTGGATGGAATTCGCAATTCGTGCTTTATTCGCAAATGATTTATCCAATATTCCAATTTTGCACAAGTTAAATTCGCAGTTTTGGATGGAAACATAGCTACTGTAATAATTACTGTCTTCAGATCCAATTATATCCTTTTAAATGATGATTTAAAGTAGAATCATCCATTATTAACACATTTATTCTCACTATTCCAGAATATTAAGATTATTAGGCCTATAAGTCGATTCAGTCTCCATATTCTGTAGCTTATAGAAACAAATACATTTAAAATATAAACACTGGACATTACAAGACTAAAACTTATCCCTGTGTTTGACAGTGCATTTTGTGAATCCTTCAAGGAAACGTGCTGCATTGCAACACATTATGCACTGATTTTGGACTCTAAAAATGAACATTTAGTAAAATTTTACACTGATTTCCCCAAGCCACATATATACAAAAATTCCATCCAGGCTAAGTGATATATTTTTTGCTTAAAAACGGCAAAAAGTCACTAAAATATGTAATAATATCTATAACATGCATTTAGAAAATAGATTGGGTGAATTTTCATTTCATGACAACTTAAAAAATGTTAAAGCTTATCCTACAGTGAAGCTGCTTTTTTTTTTTCTTATCAGTTTTGTTCTGAAACTGATAGCAGCCGCTATATCACACATAATGCGATTGCTATAGAGCATGTGAATGCTAGAATTTATTGGTAAGCCACTGAATTTTGTATCAAATTAGTTAACTTAATTAGCTTTGTAGTGATTCAGCTAATTAGTTGAACTAATGGAACACAAAGTCCAGTTGCCACCAATTAGTGAAATGAATGGAAAACTAAGTGCACTTGCTTTCAAAGGTGCCATAGAGAGTCTGTTATTGTCTAGATTACTGCACTGATGAAGTCTGTCACAAAACCCAGCGGTGGATGAAATGGCCATATGCTCTTTTGATTTTCTAGCTGCTCACTCGAATTCATACATACACAGTAAAATGAAAAATGCATGAATGCCGTGTTTACATGTTTCCCATTCCCATATTCAGCAGAAATGCAATTTTCAGCTGCCAGTTCTGCATTTAAATGCTCACCTGCTCTCTCTCTCTTCCAGATGACCAACCCAGCCATCCAGAATGACTTCAGCTACTACAGAAGGACCCTGAGCCGCATGCGTATCATCAACCAAACAGTGAGTAAACCTGCTCCGTATGGAAATGTGGCTCATTATCAGACGGTTTATGTTTTAGTAATACCTCGTTCCCCCGTGTCACAGGGGTTAATGGGAGCTCTTCTGTTCTCTAATGGTCTGGATCATTAGGTGGCAGAGCGGCACAAGATCCTGAGTCAGGGAAACATGAGATATCGCACTCATCTCATCCTCTCCATCTTTTCCTGCTATTTATTTTGTACGTCTCCCTCCCGCTTTTATCTTTTAGCTGACACAGAGCTGAAGTGCGTTCGGTTGACGTCGAGTCGGTAACGCGTGCTAACGATTTCAGGCTCATTAGCGTGTGCTGTATCATCAGGGAGCCGCTCAGCAATGGTTGACACCGAGGATCGTTGACCTTGCCTTGCCAATTAAAAGCACTCTCTGCGAAGAATAATTACGACAGTCGCTTTCATCTCATGAAACATGAGCTCAGCTGTGGAAGAGCACGTATTAGGAATTCTGGACATGTCTGCAGTCTGTGGATTAAAGCAGGATTTACATTCACTTTTTAGCATAGAGTAATGAATGAAATGTTTCAAGTCAGCTAAAATGCATTTTCAGTGCACCAGAATGCCCAATTTCTACATCCATTTCCATGATTAACTACTTAAGTAAAGCTGACCAAGGAAAAGCGCATCCGTAACCTCCAAAAACCCCAATGCCTTAACTGACCCCTTTAGTTTAAATCTTCAAAAGTATGGATTTTTCACATTTAGATACTGAAAACATGCGTGTTCTTTCTACAGGCAGAAGAGCATAATGAAGTTGACAACGAACTGGCCAATCGCATGTCTCTCTTCTACGCCAATGCCACGCCCATGCTGAAAACATTAAGCGATGCCACAACTAAATTTGTATCAAAGGTAGGTGGTTGTTAAATTCTGCTGTATTTTGATTATAGCAGTGTTTACACAACTCAAACCACTCAAATGGGTGATAAATAAATGGACAAACAAGTCCAGATGCTCATGAATAAATTCTACCTAATTAGTTCTCAAAAAAGACATGATATACTTCGGCAACACATCTATATAAAAATGTTTCTCGATCACTTTCACTTCCAAAACACTGTTTTCTCATTACAAACCATTGTAAATAACACATTTTGCTCTCTCTGTCTGATCAGCATGCAGAACTGCCCGTAGAGAACACAACAGATTGTCTGAGTACGATGGCAAGTGTGTGTAAAGTCATGTTAGAGACACCGTAAGTTACATGTTTGTGTTTAATCACTGGCCTTTTGTTTCTTCTGTAGCAGGCTGTAACTTTGTAATTCATCCCCTCTGTGTGTGTGTGTGTATTGATCAGGGAGTACCGCAGTCGTTTTGCCAGTGAGGACACAGTATTATTCTGTCTGCGTGTGATGGTGGGGGTGATCATCTTATACGACTATGTCCATCCAGCTGGAGCTTTCGTAAAATCCTCTAAAATCGATGTATGCCTTATTCTGCTTTCTTATCCTTTTAGTAAAAGTTATTTTATTTAAATGTATTCCTTTAATTTAATTACATTAATATGCTGATCAAATCCCAATTTTAAAAAATAAATTTTATATTTGTAAATAGTTTAATTAGGGTTCAATTTAACACATTGTTGAAATAAATGCAAAATAGTTTTTAACACTTACTAAATTAAATTGCTAATATGTCTAATTACAAAGCAAATACAAAGCCTGAATTAAAAATACAAATACATTGTCACTTTTTGTCACTGATTAAGTGATTAAATCAAATTTTTAAACTATTTTTTATGTAGTGCTGTCAAACTATTAATCACGCTTAATCACATCCAAAATAAGTTTTTGTTTACATAATATTTGTGTGTGTACTGTGTATATTATGTATATATAAATGCACACATAT